CACAGATAGCATGCACATCTCCAAAAGAAGCTGACCAGGGTGGTGTGGGCTTGGGGTGCGGGCGATATGTCTGTCTCATTTATGAGTGCGGTGAATCTGAAATACCTCTAGTGCCGGCCCATTCAGGTCAGGCTGGATGGTGTAGATTCCATTCTCTTTGATCCCCAGCGTGTAAATCTCTGCACAGTCCCGAGGATGTAGCCTCTCCAAGGGGGCAACTAGGGTACACACAGTGCATTTTCTGCTTAGAAATGAACAACAATTCACGTGGCTACTTGTAATGCCCTCACCTGTGGGTGGATGTTGAGTGATGCTCTTGAGGAAAAGCAGCAAGTCTTTCTCCCCCTCTCTCCCCACCGCTGCGCTCTCTGCCAACCAAGAGATAGATTAGGTTATCAGTGAGGCCAGTCACGCTGTCGTCAGGGGCTGAAAATAGATGCTCCCCTGTATACCTCACAGAGAGGATGCATGATAGCGCTCTCAAGGCTTTTTCGCTTTGTGAGCTGTACCGTATGTGTCTGTGCATCTGTGTGTGCATGTATACAGAGTTTTTGCCATGCTTCTTAGTGCAGTTAAATTCCTATGTACTCACCTATGACTGATGCCTAGCAGGTCTCATTGAGGTTCTGTTTACTATGTGTGGGGGAGTGACTGCACTGGCATTTATGTGTGTGCATGTTTGTGTGTTGCAGAGATTGGGGATATAAAGGTGTACTACTTACCCAGTCGTTTAGCCATTGCCCCAAGCGCCTGGCTGTGACAGTGGAGGTCACATTCTGTCAGCACAGCTGCCATTAAAGCCAGGATGGCCCCAAGAGAATTGCTCTCCTGGCCCTCGTGACTCCAAGGTCCCCCAGTATCCTGGACAGAGCGCATGCAGCGCTGCAGCTGAACCAGGCGCTCTCTGACAACCCCAGTCTGCTAGACAGTGACACAGATATATCTAAATCATTTTGTGAAAGTCAGAAATGATTCAGCACTCCTTAGTGTTATTCAGTCATGCATAAAAAGTCTAAAAATAAAGCTGTGCATGTGCATAAATATCATCCACACATCCTCACACATAACCGACAGCTCAGTTTTGTGTCACAGTGTGTCTCTTACACTTACATCACCCATGTTAATCATGTCCCTAACACACCTGTTCCTGCATGAGCTCAGCACAGCCATATGATGAGGATATTTTTAAAGCAAACCTAATTTTGTCCCTTCTTTGATTGCTGACGGTTATTGTTCCCTGGCTGGAAGGTGGTGCCAAGTCTAGCGTTCCATGAGAAAGAACCTGCTGGCATGAGTTTGGTAGTATGCCGCTCACTCTCACTACAACACGATGAGTAAAAAGGTAAACTTTAAGGTCTCCCAGGCTGCTGGAGTTAATTGACTGTTTAAGAGTTGTTTCTGGCCCCTCTGAGATTTTAGGATTTTTAAGATGGGAACTGTGAAAAAACACAAACACACGCATACAATGAAAAGTACTGTATAAAATGTCAGTTACCTTGTACTGAAACTGGGGTAATTCATGTTTGTGCTCCACTTTCCGAGGGACGTCCGAGATTGCTGCAAGTGAAACCCCTGTCCTGCAGGCAGTTGTCCCAGTTTGACCCTCACAAGCCCCGGTACCTGCTCCAGCTCCAGTCCCAGGCTGGATGGGTGAGGCCACTAGATTATCTTTGCAGGGAGGATTTATACAGGCTGGAGAGGCAACTAAGGATAGCAGCACTCCCACATAGAGGAGAGGAAGCATGCTAAACTTAAAGGAACTGAAAGGAAACATGGAAAAATGTTTTAAACCGTGGTCCAACGTTGTTCCTCCAAGTAGTTGCTTTGTGTTGACGATTCCCTGCAAACTTTCTCTTCACTTTCCTTCAGCTCATCAAGCAGTGCCTCTTCAGGCAAATAGACTTTGCTGACTTTGTCCTTTTTTAAGAGGGAAAATTAGATCTTCATAGTCATGTCCTTGTCCATTTTGTGTTTTCTTCTCTGGGTTTCTTTCATGTTCTTTCTTTCTTCTCAGATCATCTCACTTGTTGTCCCCTTTCTCGTGCTCCTGCTAGTGAGGTTGCTTTGGCTCAGATTCCTAGATAAATGCGGCACTCTTTGCTGTCTGACACGGACTAATGCACCCACCCCCTAATACACACACACACACACACACACACACACACACACACACACACACACACACACACACACACACACACACACAATCTGTTCATCTCCTTAACTC